AGCAAAAGACATTTTCAATTAATAGGGTATTCTTTATTTATTCTTAAAAATAAACGATTTTATTTTATAATCTAACTTTTAAAAACAGTTTACAGCTCTGTAGCATTCGAAATTAATTCTTGACACTCGAATTGCTCGAAGATTACGTGATGAAGCTTGAAGTTTTCTCTATAAAATTGTTTTTTAAAATTGTTCCTATAATTTTTGTTCTAGAGATATTCGTAAATTAAATAAAAAGGAGTATTCTAACTTGATTATTCTATCTTAAAAATCAGCGTATTGTAATTAAAGAAACTGATTTTTAAAGCTAAAACTTTGTTTTATCTATGATGTAATTGCTAATTTTTTAAATGTTGAATATATAAATTTGAATTGTGTGTTATTGTCCTTCTTTCAAAGCATTCCGTAATGATTACACAAGGAACTAATGTTATATTTTTAATTCAAATTTATATATTATGTATTTTACTTTTTAAATAAAATTGACAATTATACGATTCGAGAGCAAATTTAAGTTTCAGCTTTAAGAATTTGTTTCTTTAATTGTGGGGGATGATTTTTAACAGCAATATAAATCACATCTCTTGCTTTTTATTTAACTCGTGAATAACTCAAAAACTGTTTTAGGAACAGAAAAAAAAAAATGATTTTGAAAGGAAAATTTCAAGCTTTAATAGAATAGCGATAAATAGAAAATTTTCGCAATTTTTGGGGAGATATATAATAAAACCACAAAGTGAGAAAAAATTTTTCTGTTTTTTTCAATTCGTAGTTTTATAAATATAATAATTATCAAACTTACAGAAACTCAAAAAAATAGTAATCTTTTGAAAGTAGAGATTTGAGTTTTAAAATCTTTTTTTTTAATTTTAATTTCATTTATTTCTAACGAAGAAGTATTGTATATAATACTATTTTGAACTAAAAAAATGCAAGAACTTTTTGAAAAATAAAAATGAAAAATCAAGTATTTAATGAAAAGAAGATATAAAAAAAAAGAAGACATAAAAAAAGAAGATATAAAAACTTTTAAAGATGCAAATTCAAAGAAAAGAGATAGAGCAAATGTATTTTTTAATTTCTTTTTTACGGTATTATGTTTCTAAATTATGTAAAAAAAATTGATATTTTTTAAAGACATTCTTGTCTTATTTTGTAGCTTGTAGCGACAAATTCGAACGTAGGGATTATCTTCGAAATACTTCGAAATTCTTTGTTAAGTTTGTGTTTATTCAGACTAATTAATTAATTTGTTCAGACGAATGGTATGGCTATGACACCAAGTAATGAACATCAACGGGCAAAGATAATGAAAAATATCTTAAAGTAGACTTTCTAAACTATAATATATTTAAGAAATTAATATAAGTTTGCGCAATGGTATTGATCGAATTTCTTGCGTAAAAACTCATTTTTAAAAATGTTTTTTAATTTCAAAATTGAAGATTCAGGAATAGACATTATTTATTTGTTAGATATTTGAAAATCATTCATTAATTCTCAAATTTATCCCTCTTTGGCCGGTATTTATAGTCCATAAGAATAATTAACAATGTAAGAAAATACGAATTGTTGCTATACAGAAAAGGAATATTGCAGTGCGCAAACAATTGTCGTCTGATATGTACATACTTATACATACATGTACTTATACATAATATATTCATGTATACTAGATTTTGCTGCGTTATTGTTATTTTTACATAATATTATTTTTTACATAATATTATTTTTTATTTATTTACATAATATTATTTTATTTTTATAAATTAATAATTTTAAAATAAATTAATAAATTTAAAATTTTATTAATTTAAATAATAAGGAGCATACAGCCACGACGACAGATGTTGAAACGAAAATAATATATTTATTATTGGTGTATAACTTTGCTTCCGCCGTTTTTTTTCGGAAATTCGAGGCTTTATTGTAAAAAACTGATTATACATTTATGATTCAAAGTATTGTCCATCGCTGGTCACTACTTGCTCCCATCTTTCGGGTAGCGTACGAATCTCGCGTCGAAAAAACTGGTCATCTTTTGAGGCTATCCACGAATCGATCCAATTTTTTACTTCTTCATAAGACCGGAAGTGCTGGTCAGCCAGGCCGTGTGCCATTGATCGAAACAAGTGATAGTCTCAGAGAGAGCAACGTCTGGAGAATACGACGGATGGGGTAGGACTTCCCATTTCAACGTTTCCAAGTATATCTTGACCACTTTCGCAACATGGGGTCGAGCATTGTCATGCTGCAAAATCACTTTATCGTGTCTCTCGTTGTATATTGCGGCCGTTTGTCTTTCAATGCTCGGCTCAAACGCATCAATTGCGTTCGATACCGATCGCCTGTGATTGTTTCAGTCGGTTTTAACAGTTCATAATACATTACGCCGAGCTGGTCCCACCAAATACAGAGCATGACCTTGGAGCCGTGAATATTCGACGTGGAAGCATGGCCGGGAACTCCCCATGATTTTCTGCGCTTGGGATTATCGTAATGAACCCATTTTTCGTCCCCAGTCACAATGCGATGCAGAAATCCCTTCCGTCTTTGCCTTTCAAGCAGCTGTTTACAAGCAAACAAACACTGTTCAATATCTCTCGGCTTCAATTCGTACGGCACCCAATTTCCTTGCTTCTGAATCATTCCCATGACTTTGAGGCGTTTTGAAATGGCTTGTTGAGTCACTCCCAATGATCATGCCAATTCTTCTTGATTTTGACACGAGTCTTGCTCAAGTAATGCCTCCAATTCAGCATCTTCGAAAACCTTCTCTCTTCCACCGCTATGTCGTCTTCGACGTCAAAATCACCGTTCTTGAAGCGTTGAAACCACTCACAACACGTTCTTTCACTAATAGCGGCCTCACCTCATAAGTATTTGAGAGCATTCGATGAGCCTCAGCCGTAGATTTCTTCATATTGAAGCAAAAAATTAAAATCTGCCGCAAATGACGAGAATTTGGCTCGTAAACTGACATTTTCAATCGAGAATAACTTTTGATGCAGACACAAATCGACTAATGTTTCTATGGGGTTATGTTGACAGATGCCCAAGTTTATTGTATTCTATTGTGATCTATTTATTTCGACCACCACTTACCGCTAAAGCCATCTATAGGAAAACGGCGGAAGTAAAGTTGTACACCTAATATTATTCTATAAGAAAACATAGACGTTCTGTCAAGATTTGACCATCAGTACATACAAATGACAAAAAAGGATTATAAAGGATTATAAACAAGTTTATTAAATTAAGAATGCAAAATCACTACTCAAAGAAATGTTAATACAATATCAAGATGACAAAGAAAGAATGCAAAATATTTAAAAAATTATCGCGAATCAATAAGATAGTAACAAATTCTTTTTTTTTCCAATCGCTTGTGGTACGCGTTAATTGAATAGATAAAACTACTGCTTACAAATTTTTTGGAAGATCATGGTTAGTGAACAGTATTTATATAGGGAAAGAAAAGAAGAATGTTAGTGGAGAGGATAGTTCTATGTGTGGATAGAGGGGATTTTTCCGATGATTGACAAGTATATTTCAGGAAAGTGTTCTGTGCCACTTTGTTTAAGCAATTATCTTCTCGTTTAATATGGATCGTTTCGGAGACCATCCTTTTATAATAAAATTGTTCTGAATTGAGAATATTAATATTTTTCCAATCAATTGTATGATCATGATTAAATTTGTGACAAGAGATAACATTAATTTTAAAATAGAATATAGAAATTTCGTATTCTCACCCGAAGTCAGTTCTTTGCTTTCATAAAAAAGGAATCATAAACGGAATATATTAATCACCAAATGCGTTATTATATAAAAATTTTTTTCTTTTTTTCCTTTTTTAATATATATTTTTGTTGGTAAATTTCTCTGGACTTTATCTTACCACAAGCGATTGGAAAGAAAAAGAATTTGTTACTACCTTGACTTGCGATAATTTTTTTAATATTTTGCACTTCTTTCTTTGTCATCTTGATATTGAATTGTATTAACATTTTTTTGACTACTGATTTTGCGTTCTTAATTTAATAACTTGTTTGTAATCCTTTATTGTCATCTGTATATACTGATGATCAAACATAGAATCAAATTTTGATCGAAACGTCTATGTTTTTTTATAGAATAATAATAAATATATTATTTTCATTTCAACATCTATCATCGTGGCTGCTCCTTATTATTTATATTTATATTATTGAGCCACCTTCAAACATTTAAATTTTATATTTTATTTTTATTAGGATAAAACTAACAGTTTATTTAAACACTAATTATGCAATAAATGATTTCTGTGTTTTTCTCTGCTTTTATTCCTAATAACATCTTGTTTGATAATAATCTTTGTGTGTAACTTTACATCACTATTATATCATCATATCCATCATTAAATAAAACATTAAATAAAAAAACTAATATATGCTATAAAATTTTCCGAGACTTTTGAACGGCAGTATATACATATATATGTGTGTGTGTGTGTGTGTGCGCGCGCGCGCGCGTGCGTGCGTGCGTGCGTGCGTGCGTGCGTGCGTGCGTGCGTGTGTGCGTGTGCGTGTGTGCGTGTGCGTGCGTGCGTGCGCGTGTGTGTGTATGTGTGTGTGTAATTGCATGCTACATTCAATGTATTAATTATAAGAGGAATATTATTTGTAAGATCAAGATTATTCACGTAATTATAAGTACTAAGATCGTTTTTTTTTTCATTTATATCATTCAAAAGCTGACTACTCAACAAGTGTGATTGTAGTGTGTGTAAACATCCGACATCAATAGTTATAACTTGTGCGGTACATCTCGCAAACACAAAAGTTCGCTCGTAAAAGACAACTTTTTTTCTAGCAATGCGAAATCAATGAATGCATAAAATCGAAGTGTAATTAACTATATAAAATTGAAGCATTCAACAATCATATATAATATTTACCTGTATACATGTGTAAACGCCGACTCTTTAATTAATTAAAGGTGAACTGTTAATTTTACAGTGTTTGGCAAAATGCTGAAAGCAAACGACACAACAAGAATACTGGACAATGACTGCAAGATCCATATGCAAGAATCGAAAAAATTATTGAAATTCGACAAGTCGCAAAACTCGCATATATGCATTGAATTCAATGATATTTGTTATTCAGTTCGTTACGGATTTAAAGGCAAGTTCATTTCGTCATCCTATATTTATGACAACCACGATTCTGTATTTTCGATACATATTAAGCAGCATCTTAAATAATTTGCATATATCGTAAGAAATTGATTCATCTATAAAAGTTCTTGTGATTGAATTAGTATATTTGTACTTAAAATTAAAAATGTTCAAGTTTTTATAAAACTAACAAAAGTTTTTTAGAGCTACATTAAAATATAACATAAATTCTTGCTTTATTTGATTATATTAAATATATTATGTTTAACATATCTGTAAGTAATATAAATATTTTATAAATAATATATCCATCATTTCTTAAGAAATTTTTATGATTTAAGACATGCAATCTGGAGCTATCTAAAAATTAAATTCTTTTTACATTTATAGTTTATTGTACTTATTAATTAATATATATATATTTTATGTTTGTTTAAAATTTATTCAATACATCTTATCTTTGCAATTAATTTTATCCGATACAAATCTTGTAATTATTTGCATACGTAATACTATTGCAATATATGTAAGACATAAAGCGTAACACTACTTGTATATGTATAGGTATATTATTAAAAAAAATGTTATATAATTGCAAAAAAACATCAGAGAGAAATTAATAAAATTAAATCTATACAGGGTGTCCCATTTTAAATAATGCATTAAGATTTCTCGAAAACTATGATAGATACGGAAAAATGTTTCAAACAAAAGTTATATAGTTCGGAGAAGGACATAAGAAAGTACCATGGATTTGATATTGGATGACGTTGCCAAAGTCACATCAAGGTCACATCGATTTTTTAAATGAAATACTCCATTTTTTATAGCAGAATCTAATAGCTAGTACCGAGAGCTTTTCAAAATTATAAGAAAATATTTTTCATTAAATATTTTTTGAGTTTGAGTTGCAGTATCGCTAGCTTACCCAAGATGTCCGACCAACGCTAAAATCTCTTGAATGCTGTTCAAAACCATATCCTGGTTGTCATTTAGCAAAATCAAAGTCAATGGAGGTTATACTTCTTATTTTTATTTTTATATAAAAATAAATTTTTAGTGCAAAAATGAAAATAAGAGAAATAATCTCCAATGGTCTTGATTTGACAAATGTTATTCAAGATATGACCCCGATCTTGACTTTAGTGACGCCACCAAAGGTCAATGGTACCTTCTTATGTCCTCCTCCGAATCATACAACTTTTGTTTGAAATATTTTTTCGTGTCTAT